ATTGTCTTTAAGTAAAACCAGATAGTTTATCATTACATAATTTCATTGAAAGTCTGATTTGTCATTTAATATCTAACTATCGTCAAGTACCAAAACATAAATAAAAATACAAAATTATATAATTTTGGATAAAATTGCGTGATATTTTTTATTAAATGTATGAAAAGTTAATATTATTTTAAGGTAACTGAAATTATAACATTGATATAACATTAATATAACATGTTACATAACATGTTACCTTAGCGAGTGGGAAATAATAACTAAGATCTAACTTCCATGTTACTTTTATGCTACATAACATGTTAGTTTCGAAATCGCAACATTTACCCAACAGTTATATAACAGTGTTCACTGGGGTATCGATGCATTTTTCACGATCCCACTGGCCGCATTGAATGAATTTTATCCAAATTTCTTCCTGAAAATTCAAAGAATAAGATTCACCGTGCATTAAACGTAATGTCTCAGTTTCGTCCTGGCTTGCCGGTTCCATTTCTTCGATGTTTTTTACAGACTTATCTTTAGATTTTTCATTGGGCATATGCTTCGGCTTCGCTTTGAACTTTACATTAAACGTTTTAATGTTTTTTCAATACATTTAGAGCACACCAATCTTTGCGGATTATTTTAAGTAAACTAATAAGTACTCATTCGGAATATACTTGAAGCGCAGACGATGGCAGGAAAACAGCCAGCGCGACGCCAAGAGCATGTCGATTAAGGTGAAGTGAAACCCCCTTCAAATCAGTCGATTCGAATACAACACTTTTTTTTAAGGGTATTAGACCAAATTGTCCGAAACTTTGACACATCACTCCTGATAATCTAAGAATTGTCCTGACGCATTCGAAATTTGGATTTTTGGAAAACATTTTTTAACTTAGCCCAGACCAGAACCAAAATGGCGTCGAGCTCTCATATTTCGATCAATATACAATTATCGAAGGCTCCGATATGTGAAACGAAAGGATCAGGACAATTTTACGACAATTTAGAACACTCTGGTAATCGATAAACTCGCATTTGAACGGGATAAAGGCAAAAAAAGTGTTGTATGCGGTTCTATCCCAAACCATGGGAATAAGAGGTCTCGGAGTGAAAATTTAATTGACCTGGAAATCACAGATGACGCAGGGGGTCCTTCTGCAGTCAATTAGGGCCCCAGAAGGCATGAATCCAGAGGATTTCTGGAGTTTTACTTCGATTTCTTGATAATTATTGTACGAAAATTACAGGTGGAGTATGCCATTTGGTACAATACACAATATAATTCGACCCAGCTGTCAATATAAAAACGAACGTCAGCAACGTAGGCATTTAGGAAAATCTTCTTTATCGACGTTGATCAAGTTCCTCGACGTGTTTCACTCTATCTTAAAGTTATATTTTTAAAATGTTTCATTAAGAAACTTAATAATAATTAATTTAATTGTAAACTTTTATGTTCATTTGATATTAATGTTTTTAGATCCCTAAGAACCCAGAAATGCGAGATGAATGGCTTTCAGTCATTAGTGTAAAAAACGATGAAATTTTTTAATTGAATGCTACTTCTTGCATTCGTTCTTAGCATTTCACGAAGGACTCTTTTATATCAAAGCAATTTGGAAGAGCTACATTACTAGAAAAAGGTGCTGGACCACAATAAAATATCTTGTGTACGGAAATCGGAAAGTATAATCCTATGCAAGTACCACCATGCTTCATTAAGCAAATTAATAATAATTAATTTAATTGTAAACTATTATGTTAATTTGATATTAATGTTTTTAGATTCCCTAAGAACCCGGAAATGCGAGATGAATGGCTTTCAGTCATTAGTGTAAAAAACAATGAAATTTTTTAATTGAACACTACTTCTTGCATCCGTTCTTAGCATTTCACAAAGGACTCTTTTATGTCAAAGCAATTTGGAAGAACTACATTATTAAAAAAAGGTGCTGTACCACAATAAAATATCTTGTGTACGGAAATCGGAAAGTATAATCCTATGCAAGTACCACCATCTTTTTTAAAAGAAGAATTACATAATACAATGGAGTAAGTAATTGAAACAATACTCACTAACAACTAGTATCATTAGTCTGTTATTGTGATTTATACAATTTTTTTTTTTCCAAGAGAGGTGAGCCAGCAAACTTTCGATCAGAGAGAGATCCTAAAAGAAGTGATATTTACTGATCAAAATGTCACAAACATTAAAGTAAATTCTGAAGCTGAAGCGCAAGTATAACATTTTATTCTGTCAGCTATGTCATCAAAAAGAAAATTTTTTGAAGGAGATTTTAGCATCGACGACATGGATTCTCGATAGAAAGCACGGTTGTATTTTCAGGCTGCTAAAAAGAAGATTTCATGTTTTCAAAATCGATTTCAGTTGTGCAGAAACCGATGCAAACAGCTAAATATAGAAAAAGATAAGACCCAACTGCTGATTGAAGAATTGCAAAAAAAAACAAGTTATCTCAAAGTACTGTAGATCTCCTGTTGGTAAGTTGTAGCAGAACTTAATTTTGATTTTTCCGTGCTTAAACATTTCTGCGCCTATTTTTATAATTGTAATTTATATCACTATAAACTATATTGTACATTAAATATGTTATTATCTGAAAGATTGAAGAATTGTAAATAATAATTCAGTTCAATATAGTCCTATTAGACTAATATTTGTAATTAAGATTATTTTGAAATACATACATGTATCTTTTTTACAGAATATTGTATTTTATTACATTTTTACTACATTGTATACTGAATAATTAACATGAAATGCAATGACGTAAATAGTAAATATAAATTCCACCTTCAATGGATTAATTCTCATTGTCAGATGTAGAAATTAATTTTGTTACAGTCATCATTAACCCCAACAGCACGAGAAATTCTGAAGAGAATGTTAAGTGACTATACTAGACAGAAATTCGTACCTGAACTTAGGAGCTTTGCTTTAACTTTATGCTTTAATTCAACTAGAGCGTATCGTTACGTCCGCAAATAATTAAATCATATCTTGTTTCATGTAAGTACAATTAGTAAATAGTAGCATTGATGGTTCTCCAGGATTTAATAGTGCTGCTTCGAAAATCATCCAAATGAAATGCAACGATGCTAGTCAAAAGCAACAAAAATATTGTGCAATTTTATTATGAATGAGATGTGTATTAGGAATCAAGTAGAAATCCATAGCAATAAAATAACAGGAATGGTTAATCTGGGACCATACTTTCATATAAATGCACCCAAGGAAGCAACGCAGGTTTTGATATTCATGCTTGTGGCAATTAATGATCACTGGAATATTCCAGTCGGTTATTTTTTAATAAATTCACTCAATACATTTGAAAAGAAGAATTTAGTGAGCTGTGTTTACAATTTCTACACGATTCCGAAATTATTGTAACTTCCTTTACCTTTGATGGACTCGCGACTAACTTTTCTACAGTACAATTATTAGGTGCTGATCTCTCTAACATTAATGAATTACAGCCAATTTTCCCGCATCCCGTTATTAGGGAATCAATTTGTATATACCCAGATGCTGGCCATATGTTAAAACTTGTATGCAATTGTTTCGCTAGTGAAAAATTATTAATTGATAGTGACGACGGGTATATTAAATGGGAATATATTGAAAAGCTACACGAATTGCATGGGCAAGAAGTATTACATTTAGGAAAGTGTTTAACTAAGCGACATATTGAGTGGTGGCAAGAAAAAATGACAGTCCTTCCTGCAGCTCAAATAGTTAGCAATAGTGTTGCCGATTCGCTAGAATATTCGTGTCATGATCTAAAACTAGAAAACTTCCAAGGAGCTCAAGCAACTACCCGAATCATAAGGGTCATTAACAACACATTAGACATTTTAAATACTAGAAATTTATTGTGTAAATATACATTTAAAAAACCACTCTCCAAAAGTAATGCAAGCGATATTTTATCATATATGTCTCACGTTCAGGGATATTTAAAATTAATGAGACTAACCATTGGATCAATTTTATATAGTAGGAAGAAAACAGGGTTTCAAGGTTTTATAATTGCATTAGAGAGCTTGAAAATATTGTATTATATGTACATTGAATGTGAGTCACTTATATTAACATTTTTACCGACATATACCAGGTGTATAAGCTTAAATCCGCTGTTTTTTAGTCAGAAAAGCACATGTTTCTTTCATAGAAAGCGAAAAAATAATTTGTTGAAAGTACTGGCCCTCGGTAGTTACACATTTGTCCCATCTCTCGTGCAATTTGTAGATACTACGGCAAAAAAATTCGATCTCTTTTGAGGCAAACCACTCATCAAGCCATTGTCGGTCGTCTTCATAAGAATCGAAGTGTTGCTCAGCGAGCGCGTGGCCCATCAACGCAAACAGGTGGTAGTCGGAAGGGGCCAGGTCTGGTGAATAACCGACATGGGGTAGCACCTCCCAGTTGAGTGCCTCCAAGTAGTTTCGGACCATTTTTCACGTGTACGATGGTGCGTTGTCGTACAGGAAAATCAGCTCGTCATGTCTTTGCTGATAATCCGGCCTTTTTTTCACGCAGAGCATGATGCAATTTCATCAGTTGTTGGTGGTAGCGGTAGGCATTGACAGTTTCACCAGGTTTCAGCAGCTCATAGTAGACGATACCCTGCTGATCCCACCAATCGCAGGGCAACGTCTTCCGTCCGAAGCGATTTGGTCTTGCGGACGATTTTCATGGTTGGTCGGGATCAACCCACGATTTCTTGCATTTAGGATTCTCGAAAAATATCCACTTTTTATTGCCAGTCACAATTCGATGCAGGAATGACTTTCTTTTTTGTCTGGCGAGCAAGATTTCGCATGTGTTTTGGCGTCGCTCCATCTGCCTATCGGTCAATTCATGCGGTACCCATTTTCCGATCTTTTGAAACTTTCCCATGGCACGTAGACGCATAGAAATGGCCAGTTGAGTAACATCCAATTGCTCGGCAAGCATTGGGTATCGTCCTCGTCCAAAAGTCCTGAAATTAAAGGTCCTCAACCTTCCTGGGCCTATTTTCACGCTTCTTGTCGCTCAGGTCAAAGTTGCCGTCCTTGAACCGACGAAACCAATTTCTGCACGTTGTTTCCGATAAAGCACAGTCGCTATAGACCTCCACAAGCATTCGATGTGGATGCAGCCGATTTCTTCAAATTGAAGCAGGAAAGCAGAGCTTCCCGCATATACTCTTTTTCCGGCAAAAAATTAGACATGATTACCAAAGGAAAAATGTATATTGTTGTATGAAATTGCTGATCATGTGCACTGATTATTGTTGACAGATGTCAAACTCATACAAAACAAAAGTATGGCGTGTCCATAGTAACTTAATATGCTCACTAACGCAATCTATGAGCAAACAGCCGATTTAAGCTTATACACCTGGTAAACTAAGTCAAGATCATTTGGAAGTTTTTTTTCAGTTGTTCGAGGTCATACGGTGGACATGATAGTAGGTATACCGTGCCGGTTCTGGACCCTCTCTATGTGAAAAGTTTAAACGATGTCGAAAGAAAGGCGACGGGACGATGTTCTTTTTTAATCAGATTTTCATTATTGAGATGCTACGGGAAGTTAGCATCTCATTTTTTCAACTCCTTTTTTTATTGACTAAATGGACGGAACTATTGAAATAAACTATCGAGAACTCTAGAACTATTGAGGATGCTATTAGAACTCTACTTTTTTCTTGAGATGCCAGCAATTGATATGCTAACTTCACAGTGCCAGCTGTATTCTATAGTTATTGAAATAACTGTACCGTCATTACTTTAAGTCCTGAACATGCCGCCCGCCTTCAAAGCTCGTACTTTCAACGAATGTGTGTTACTTAGCGTCGTACATTGTAATGCACGAATAAATGATTTCGAGTTGAGGATGTCATGGACCGCATTTAAGTATTATGGTGGTCTTAATGGCTAATTTCCTTATGGTTGGGCGCATTATCGGTATCACGGGGCTATTATAATCTGCTCGATGGGTAAGATACAAATTCTTGACAATGATCGTTGTGTAATCCCTTGTTTAGTTTTAATACTAGCGACACGAATGAGTCCGTCTTTCCCTGGATGAGTTTCGATTATTCTTCCTAATCGCCATTGCATGGGTGGCAAGTTATCGTCCTTAAGATTACCATAGTACCCGGTTTTAGATCCTGGGGCAGTAATTGGGTCCATTTAACGCGTTGCTGAAGTTGAATCAAATATTTGCGGCTCCATCTTGACCAAAAATGTTGCCGTATTTGTGTAAGTAATTGGTATCGTGTGAGACGATTGGTTGGTTCGTCAGTGAGATCGGGTTGTGGCAAAGATGTGAGTGCTTCATCTATTCAAAAATGTCCCGGTGTCAAAGGCACCAGATCATTAGGATCGTTTGAGATGGGAGATAGTGGTCGCGAATTTAAACATGCTTCAATTAGTACAAATATGGTGTATAGCTCGTCATAGATAAGCAATGACGGACCGATTATCTTCCGTAAATGAGTTTTAGCGGACTTTACAGCTGCTTCCCATAAACCTCCGAAATGAGGTGAATATGGTGGTATAAAGTGCCATTTTATTGAATATTGGGTCGAAACTTTATGCATTGTAGTTTGATGCTCTTCAGTCGGCAATAAGTCATTCAGAGACCGTAATTCATTATTCGCGCCGACACAATTCGTTCCATTGTCGGAGTACATGTCGAATGGCCGACCTCGGCGTGAGATAAATCTTTTAAATGCGTTTAAGAAAGCAACGGTAGACAAACTATTAACGAGTTCTAAATGAACAGCTTTAGTAGCTAGACAAATAAACAGGCATAAATACGCGCCTTATCTGATTTGTTTCGGGATATTTTTATGTTGAATGGCCCGGCATAATCGACGCCACATTTAAGAAAAGGGCGTGCAGGAGTTACGCGGGATTTGGGCAAATTGCCCATCAACTGATGGTTAATTATTGGACGTTCCCTGAAGCGTACGATGCACTGCCGTAGAACGCGGCGTATAGCATTCTTAGCGGATAACGGCCAGTACCTTTCTCTGATACCGGCTAGTAATGCTTGTGTACCGGCGTGTAAATGTTTATAATGTTCGTCGCGTATGATGAGTTCGGTGAGTCGATGTTTTGTGGGTAAAACAATTGGATGATTTTGCGAATAATTTAAATTGGCATTATGTAATCGTCCACCTACGCGAATTATCTCGTCATGATCGAGGAAAATATTTAATGCGCGTAATCGACTGTTGCGTGGAATGCTCAGATGTGATTTAAGTGCGTGCAATTCCTGAACAAATTCCTGCGATTGCATGAGTTTTATTAAGACCTTTATAGATTTGTCAAGTTCAGCAACGGTTAAATGTCCCGAGGTAACGGTGTTTCGATCCTTAACTATAGTCTTCCATCGCAGGCAGTAGACAAGTACACGTTGAAGCCGATTAAGTGACGAAAATCTGTCGAATAGTTGGCACAATTGATTGACATGAGCGAATATTACATGTGGTTGTCTCAACTCTGGTATCACTTCAGAATGTTGCTGGGTTTGTTGCGGCCAATGCGACGAATCCCTGGAGAGCCACGTTGGTCCCGTCCACCAGAATTCTGAATCTCTCAAACCGATTGGATCGCAATCACGTGAAATGATATCAGCTGGATTATCATCTGAGATTACGTGATTCCAGTTGGATTGTTGACTGAGTTGCTGAATCTCGGTTACTCGATTGGCGACGAAGGTTTTCCATCGATGTGGTTCGCCTTTGATCCAGGCCAAGGTGATAGTTGAATCGGACCAACAGAAAACTTCCTTGAATGGTATAGCCAGTGCCTGACGTACCTGGTGGATTAATTTTGAAAGCAACAGTGCGCCGCACAATTCGAGTCGTGGTAATGAAATTTTCTTTAATGCTACAACTCGTGATTTGGCGCATAATAAATGAGTCGTGTGAGCACCCTCCTGAGTGGACGTCCGGATGTACAGGCATGCTCCGTACGCTAATTCCGATGTATCACAGAAGCCAGCGTTCAGTTTGTACGGCATCCATCGTGTGTACCAATCGCGGTATCCTTATGTTGCCGAGATGAGGAAGTTGACCTTCGTAATGATTCCATGTCGTGTATATGTCCAGTGGTACCGATTCATCCCACTTCAAGTTCAGTTACCACAAACGTTGTAGCATGATTTTTGCCTTAATAGTGGCTGGACCAACTAGACCTAGTGGGTCAAAGATCCGTGATATGGTAGATAGAATTGTTCTTTTTGTAATCCCTTGCGAAGATTGTGAACGGCATACAGCATATTCGAGTTGATCCTCTCGAGGTCGCCAACACAAGCCAAGCGTTTTTACGGATTCGCCGATCTCGTACGTCGCTTCGGAGGCTGAAGATTCGATTGCGGTGACGATTGAAGATGAATTGGATGTCCATTAACGCAATTCAAAACCTGCGGATTGTAGAATGGACGTGACCTCTGATTTGATGGCTTGCGTTTCTTCGAGGGTGTCGGCTCCGGTCAATAAATCGTCGACATAGAAATCTCGAAGAATGATTTGACTTGTTATGGAAGATTCGGCTTTGTGATCCAGTGCTACTTGGTGTAAGCTTCGGATCGCTAGAAATGGTGACGAGGCCAGTCCATACGTAACTGTGTTCAGCCGAAACGTACTGATTGATTCGTCGGAATTGAATCGCCATACGATGCATTGTAAATTCCTATGCTTGTCACTCATGTTGATTTGACGGTACATCTTGGCTACATCGGCGGTGATAACATAAGGATGCTGCCTGAATCGTAGTATAATTGAAAACAAATCCTGCTGAATGGTCGAGCCAATCATAAGTATGTCATTTAGTGAATGATTTGAGGTAGTTTTACAGGAGCCGTCGAATACGACGCGTAATTTGATCATACTACTGGATTCCTTCATGACCGCGTGATGCGGATGGAAATGAATAGGTTTCTCATGTTCGTCTTCCGTCACGAAGGACATGTGATTTAATGCTATATATTCCCGCATAAACTCAACGTATTGATTTTTCAATTCGACATCCCTGCGGAAGTTTCGTTCCATTGAATAGAGGCGGTTCACGGCCGCTGTTAGAGAATCTCCTAATTGCGCGAGATCACCACGTATTGGCAACTCCACGGTAAATCTTCCATTCGCCTCGCGATAGTATGTACGGACGAAATGATTTTCACACGAGGATTCTTCGGGACTAAGTGAATTGGGTATTGAGCACTCTTCCAGATTCCAAAACCTTTCGAGTTGTCGACTTAGGGCGACGTTATCGAAGTTGACTCCGCAGAATTGTCCGTCACGATTCCTTGATCCGCCCGGACTGACCTGACCTGAGATTATCCATCCAAAATGCGTTTTTTGCATAACCGATTGATTCCTTGTCCGCTTGATTTTTCCGGCGCAAAGCAATTCCCAAAATGCGGTGGCGCCTAGTAGCAAATCTACCTTACCGGCTGTGTTGTAGGTTGGGTCTGCCAGGGTGAGATTTCGGGGAATGTTTAAACTGGATGTATCGATGTTTGTATACGGTAATTGGTCGATGATTTTCTCGACAACGAATGCGGATAACTGTATTTCATATGTGTTAAATTTGTATTTTATGGTTGTTCTGCGACACTAAACCAGCTCGCGATTGTCAGTCAATCCCCGAGGGTCGTAAATCTTCAGGCTGGGGAAGACGGGCTCGAATAGTGTTTTGCTGAAGGGGGGATTAACCGCCAGCAGCTGGTTTCGCGTTTTGAATGAAATTATTCCGAATTTTAGTGACACAATAAACTATATTTCCTTTACGGACAAGGGAAGATGCGTGATTTTATGACGTTGATCAGTAGACTCGGCAACTGGTCTTCGCGTTTGCGTTGACTCGGCAACGAAATGATTAAGTTCTCAGTTGGCTCGGCAACTGGACTTTTTGGACGTTGACTCGGCAACGTTTTTGAGATCCGATGTTGTCTCGGCAACTTTCGGTTGGTATCTACGTTGACTCGGCAACGTTTTAAGAGAGATTCGATGTTGACTCGGCAACGTTCGTTTGGTATCTACGTTGACTCGGCAACGTTTTAAGAGAGACTCGATGTTGACTCGGTCTTTTGGAATCTGCTTTTTACAAAATGTCTTAAAAAATATCCGAATGCAGAGTTCTCCCTCCAACTCGGTGGAGGGAGGAAGTCGGACCTTGAGTCGAGCATTCTCATTGGCAGGGAGAAAATTCCCGAAGGGTTTCCGCCCTCGAAGGCACCCGCGAAACGGCCGGTCACGTAGACCGCGGATTCGCGGAAAAAACCCTCGAGTGACGTCTGATCGCCAGAATCGGGCTTCGGCATTTTTAGAAAGTTAAAGAATCTGTTCGCCAGACGTCATCTCGGACCTTCGGCGAAAACCCTCGAAAAGAGACCCTTTGAGACTGCTCGGACTCGTAAGTTTTATTGCCCCCCTTTCGAGGATGGCTCGGGTCCTTCGGTACGCGTGGGAAGGACCTCCAATTTCCGTGGGCCTTGACTCGAGCGATTATAAAAGATTAAATTTATACTAATAATTAACGCGGATGGGCTGTCGACGCTCCAATGTCCATGTGACGCACTGCTGTAATTACACATAGGGAATCCGTTAGGATAAAAATGGTGTTTTCGGTTGATTGAATTCAGTGTTTGATTGCTTCTAAGATGGCGTGGGCTTCTGTGGTAAAGATGCTTGCTTCTCTGTCCAGTTTTATTAAGCCCTTTTCTCCTGACGTTGTGTCGATCCATGCTCCTCCTATGTCTTCGTTCTTTTTTGGTTTTGATCCGTCTGTATAGATTATCTTGTAGTTTGTGGGATTATATTTTTCTTGGATTTTTCAGCTGGGAGGGGCATCCGAGATGCCTTGACCTAATTTTCTCTGGGTCATTATACATCCGCGTCGCGAGGGCTCGGATGTCGCGATAGCGCGCTTCAGCGGCGGTAGGTTACTGAACGCCGGAGTGCTGATGCGGGAATTCCTTACTGTTTAATGGCGGTCAACGCGTGATTTTAGTCTGTCTCGCGATGCTAAGATTTCGAGCTCAGCTGTTTGACGGAAGTTGATGGGTTCTTAATCTATCCGGTTGACCGGAGCAGGGCATGGAAATCGCGATAATGGTTAGAATTCGGTCGGAAATGGGGGTTAAGAAATAATCTAAAATGAAATGAGGATGAGTTGAGCTTGCGAAAAACCCTCTGCCTGGCTTGATCAGCAGCCGGATTGGTGACAATCTCTTTTGATCGACCCAGACGGATGACTGTGCGTGAACACCTTCGTCCCGTGGCGTACCCTAGGATTGGAGGTCTCCTAGAAGCCTCCCGTCCAACGGAAGTCGCAGTGCCGCCGTCTGGTCCTGACTCGGTGATTGGATCACTGGAGTACCGGATGGCACTTCTGCAGCTTGCAGGATAGTGCTCCTTCACAGGGAGTCCTACGGTCTCGCTCTCTGACTCGCTAGGAACGGAGTACCGAGGACCAGGAGCTCCACTCGAAGTTTGTTGAGGATGACCGGTGATATGACACTTGACTAAAGACGTGCGACTTCTGACACTATGACTGACATACCGTCCTGATCTGACTGCTGCTTTTATTAGCAGGGTGTTCCAATTGGTGGGGGCTTCCTAGGGCCCAGGTGAGGGTGGCACTTTTGGGTTGTGCTGACGCGTTGCGTAGTCATCAGGTTGTTCGCCCCGGATCGATCGATGACTTTTGGAGCAGTTTGGCCGATGAACTTGTTGGATCCTTTCGCAAGAGTTTCCTAATCGCGTTTCTGTATTCGGATTTCCATGGCTAGCTCCAGTGATCGGAAAATGGATTTTTCCCTACGTTAGGGTACGGAGGGTGTCTACGTAATATACGCTACTGCACCCCATTCGATTATTGACCTTATTGTTGCGTTTACTATCCTTATTAATGATTCTGGGTCAGAACCCCATGAGGTGCCACAGCCATTTTATTATGTTTAAGTACTTTCTACATTTTCTTTTTAGATATTTTATGTGGTTTTTCCATGTTCCTTTGCTGTCTAGGATAATTCCCAGGCATTTGATCTCCTTTTCTGGTTTGATTGTGTGGTTTTGGTATCTAATGATGTTGTCTGGACTCAGTTTTTTCTTTCTTGAGGATATGATTAATTTTGTTTTGTGGGGTGATAATTCCAGGCCTATTGAATGGAGCCATTTTCCTACTTTGCTCAGCGATTCTTGTAAAGCGTTGATTATTTCTTTTTGGTTTGTTCCTTTGGTATATATTGTTATGTCATCTGCAAATTTTAATGTCTTGATGTTATAGTGTACGTGATTATTTATGTCCTTGACATATAGGTTGAATAGTAGGGGGCTCAGCGCTGACCCTTGGGGTAGACCTTTTTTAATTGTTCTTTCTTCTAAGAAGTTATTATTGTAGTATATTTTGACTGAGCGTGTCATTGTTAGATCGGATATTATCTTTTTTAGGCCATAGTTAATTCTCAGTTTATCTATGGTTTATTTGAAGCGGGTAGGTTCAAGATTGTCATATGCTCCCTCTAAATCTAGCATTAGCGCTCCCATCAGTTCTCTTTTTTGGAACGTATCGTATATGCCTAGCGTTAAGTTACTGATGTCCCAGCAGGACTTCCTTTTTCTGAACCCGTATTGGGTGTGCGGGAGGATATTCTCTTTTTCGATGTAGTAGTCTAGCTTTCTCTTTATTAGTTTTTCTAGTATTTTGAAAATGCATGAGGCCAATGCGATTGGTCTCATGCCTCTTTCTTGTGGTTTGTCTGTTAGTAATATGTCGTAATTTTTCCAGGCTTCGGGTATGGTTCCCAGGGTGGCACAGTAGTTAAATATTTGTAAGAGTTTTTTTTGGTAGTTTTTTCGTAGGTTTTTTATTATTTGGTTGTTGATTAAATCAGGGCCTGCCACTGAATTTAATTTTAGGCTTTTGATTACGATTTATTAGTTTAAAGTTGTCATCGAATAATCTTATGTGTGGTTTTATTATTTTGATAGGTTTCCAATTGTTGATGGTTACTAACCAACGGCGGGGCTATTTTGTTGATGGCTTCAGTGATGAGTTTTTCTTTCCTATCATCCATGGGTATCGCTTCTTTGAAGACATGACTGTTCCTTAATTTGGTCATTTTGTTCCATACGATGCTAGGGTTTGTTCCGCTGTTAATTTCTTCGGTTATTTTAAAGCCATCTCGGTATTATTTTAAAGCCATCTCTTTTCTAGGTATTGATTGTATTCCTTATTTTTTGCTGTTCTATAGTATTCTTTTAAGTTCTCTTCGTTTGGTGAATTTATGAATTTGTCATAAGCTTCGTTTCGTGCTTTTCTTGCTGAATCCTATTTCTGGTACCACCATGGTTTGGTGGTTGGCCACTTGATTGGTTTTCTTTCTGACTTTGGTGTTTCATCTGTGTTGGGTTTTCTTAGTAGTTTTCCGCCAGTCTCTTCTATTTTTTCCAAGATTAAGTTGTATAGTTTTTGGTATTCTTTGATATAATCCAAGAAATTAATTTCCTCTTCAAATACGATGTTCTCACATGTTTCTATGAATTTTTCATTATCTCAACGCTCTAGGTTTATTTTTCTTTTTTCTTCGTTCGTCTGTATAGTTCCTTTCATTTGTTCTAGTTTGATTAGTACATGGTCACTTTCATATATATCATCTGTCACATTCCATATCCATTTGGGTTTAATATTTGTTGATATCAACGTTATATCTGGAGTGCTTCTTTGTCCTTTGTTTAATGTAATTCTTGTTTCTTCACCTGTGTTGAGTATATGGATAGGTAGTATTGAAATTGCTTTTTCCAGGTTCTTCCCATTTTGATTCTCCATGGTAGATCCCCACATTTCTGACTGAGCGTTAAGGTCGCCGCATATTATAACTATTGCATCTGGACTGTTGCTCATTAGATGTGTCAGGATTTTTCGCCATTCTTTTTCCGTGATTACGTTGTTTGGTGGGTTATACATGAATACTATGTTGATCCCCTCCTTATCGTCGTCTTGAATTTGACATCCAACCCTTTCTATTCTGCCTGTTATTGTAGCATCTATTTCAATTTTCTTGCTGATGCCAATTAGAACACCTCCTCCCATTTCTTGCGTTGTTCTGTCTTTTCGTATTATGTCCATATTTTCTATATTGATTTTCTTTTCTTCTTTGAGCCATGTTTCTTGAAGGCAGATAATATCAGGTTTTTTCGTTAGTTTATGTAGTTCGTTGATTTTATTGACCAATCCTCGACAGTTCCATTGTATGTTTCGCGCCATTTTTACTTTGTTTTGTTTACTTTTAGTTGTCTTTTTGTTTTTTGTTTTGTTTTTATTGTGGGGGTTATTTCGATTAATCCTTTGGGTAGTTTGTGGGTTTGTTTCTTTTTTTGGGTTTCCGTTTTTGAGTTAGTTTTGAGTTTTAATGTTGATCGGTCTGTTTTCGTGTCTTGTCGGTTTATTTGTGACTTTTCTCCTTTCGAATTGTCTTTTGTTTTGTTTACTATTGGTTGTCTGTTATATTTTGTATTTGTATTATATGTATTGAACTGTTGGAATTTCTTTTGTAACCTTTGGGGTTATTTTTTGAACGGTCTTGAGTGTTTGTTGTTGATTTAGTTTTTAACTTTATTTTGTTTGGAATAGACTCTTTTTTTTTAATTTATTTTTTGGGTCTTTGCCTCTTGTTTTTATTTGTACAATGTTCTTTTTTTGTTCTTCTTTTTCTATGATTTTGATTAGTCCTCTGGTTGGTTGGTTTTGTATCTTTTAGGATGATGTGATCTGGTTATTGTTGATTTTATCATTTCCTTTTTCTGAGATCTTTCTTTCTGGATCTTCTTCCGCTGATTCTGGTGGTCTGCTATCTTCTTTTTTGTCTTTTCTAATTTCAATTATGTGTTTTTGATTGTGCATCTCCCTTGGATTATGTTCTTGTTAGTTTTTATTATGCTTTTTTCTTGATTGTTGATTGTTGTTTTTGTGATTGTTTGTTCTTCTTTTCCTTCTTTTTGCGTTCTTCCTGTAGTTGAGTATGCTTTGTAGGTCCTGCTCTTTTCGCGTCTATTTTCCTCCTCTTCTTCAATTGTAGCTGTTTTCTTTTTTGAGGTAAGTTATCCGTTAGGGGCCCTTCCTTTGATTTTTTCATCCCGTGTTCTTTTTGGGGGTTTCCAAGCATAGCTTGAGGTTTCAAGAATTTTTTCTTCTACCCATTCAATCAGTTGGGTTCTATATTTTATTTTCCTTTGGAATATTTTGTCTACTTCGTATGCGTTGGTTATATTGTATTTTGTTTGTATTTCTTTTGCTTCCTTTTCCTCTAATCCTGAAAAGGCGCATATTCTGTTTATTATGCTTATTTCATTGTATTTTGGGCATGTGTTTTTGTTGTCAGGTCTATGTTGTCCTCCGCAATTTATACATTTAATTTCTGTTTCTAAGCAATCTTTTAGTTTGTGAAGATGTCCGCATCTCAAGCACATCTCGCTGCCTCTGCATTGCCACTTTGAATGTCCAAGGCGATTACAGTTGTTACATTGTTTTGGTTTGTATACATACGATTCCACTTTGCAGATTGTGTTCCATATGACTAATCCCTCTGGAATTTCGTTGGACTGGATTGTGATTTTTACTTTTGTACTGTTTTTCAGTGTTTCTTTGTTTATTTTGTCTCTCATGAGTATTCTTTACATTTTTATTATTTTTATATTCTTGTCTTCCTCTGATAGTCCTTCGGTTAATTCTTCCATGGACATGTTTGGGTCTGTGTTGTAGATGACTGCCGTTTTGTATATTCTTTGATCTCGGGCGTAGGCTATCCAGTCTTCTTTGTTCTGTTTAAAGTTGTTTCAGAAAGAGTTTGCTTCTTTTTCCGAGTTTAGCTCTACTCTTATGGATCCACTTCCTTGTCTTTTTATATACTTTATTCCATTGTAATTAGTTAGGATTCTTTTTCCAATTTGCATTGGATGTAGGTTACCTATGTTTTGATCGGGGGACTCGCTTGTTATGTGGATAACGTAGGGTCCTATGCTATTTTCTGGGTAACGGTTTCTTTCTGGTTGTTCGTATGCATCCTCGATTCTGGTCTTTTTAGTTTGACCCTTATTATTTTGTACGAAGTCTCTATTTTCCGTTGGGGTTTCTTCCGCCCTTTTTTTTCCGTTTTTTTGTCGCCTATGATTTCTTCTGTAATTCTTTTAGTTAGATTATTTAGGTAGTCGTAGTCGTATGTTTCTCTCTCCATTCTGTTAATTACTTTCAACGTTCACCATTGATCTCGAGTTTTTGTATCGCTTCAAATATATGTTTACTTATGTTTATGCTGCTCTACCATTAATGACGGATTAATGCGGATCGAAGAAATTCAACACATTTTCTCGTACACTCAATCCATATGGCGCTTTATCTTCTCATATTAAGGGCGCTCACCACTCCAGCGATTTTGCAGGGCCTCACGGGGACAACGATTCCGAACGTATTTCTAAATCGATCGAGCTTAAGGAATGCTCATATCGAAGATGAAATATTCATCTGTGTTTATATGGGAGCGATTTTCGATAAGTGGCCATTTTCATATAAAAAAGTGCAACGACATAATTTCAATGCCCTTTTACCTAGAAAACAGGTGCTTGGTCGAAAATCGCTTCCATACAAACACACGACAACGTTTTACCTTTAAAATGAGCACTCGTTGAGCTCGATGGGTTGAGAAATACGCTCAAAATCGTTGTCCCCGTGGAGCACCTTTTTCAGGATTTTCAAGTTTATCGCGAGGAATTTGGGCATTCCTTAGCAACCGTAGCCGACTCTAGGCGGAGCGTCCAACTGGCGTGTGCGTGCGGTCGGGGGTCATACACGTTTCGGCGTCTAGTCCAGAGGCGTCTAGCCGTTGTGTGTGTCCTATACGTGCAAAATACGCACACATTTTTCGCCCGTCGCTAAACACCGCCCATTATGCGTCGCGTCTCCCTCATCCGAGCGAGAAAGTACATTTTGGTTACTTCCCACCGAATTCGATGCTAATGCCATCTAGCGGTGGAAGTCATCGTCCCCACTTTGGTGGTGAATGCCGTTAAATTTCTATGAAGCTGTCTTCATGATTCCGACATGATGAATGACGTCGATTCCTTTTTCCACCTTTTCCGACGAAAGTGCGTTGTTCTGTTATCATCATCGTCGTCGCCCCAGTCACGGACTATTTTTCCGCACGGACATGATTAAAGTTCTAAATCCAGTAAGTTACGTCAGAAACGAAAAGAAATTCCCGGTAATTTATCGGTAATTCCTCCAAAGCCTTTTTTATCGAGAAATTATGAGAATTTGAATTTTTCAACAGAGCGAACGGGAGGTTTCGATTAGCTATAGAGAAACATCGTAGAGGGGAATTTCCGTTGTACGTTCTCCGTAGCCAATCAAAAGCTCCCATTCGCTTCGTCGCAGAATGAAATATCAGTTCGTTTGAAACAAATGGCATGGAATTTTCCGTGAAGTTGTACATACGTGAATATTTTTAGCTGGAGGTAAATACGACCCTATAATCAATATTTTCTAATAATAATTATTACTCTTTAGCTTGAACTTTGAAGTTGATTGAAAAAAAAAGTTATTTAAATAAAGAAACCTAAAGTATAAATAACAAAATTAACGTTCTCTTAAATTCTCAATGTTCCCGGTAACTTACGGTATGTTTCACAGTTACCTTCTCCAAATTAAGGTTACCGAGAATTTTCGAACTCTAGACATGATAGGTGAACCTTTATACGGTTTTCGCTTCCAACTCCACAGCGTTCACCGCGCAATCTACATGAACTATCGCACTTATCATAGTAGTAGCTTTAAGGTGGGAAACTACCAATATACATTACTTATTTATTCATGATTTATTGTGTTGATTATTATATATTAGCTTTTTATTAATTAGGTTAAGATTAATCCAAGTTCTGTGCCGAATCTTTTGATTTCATTGGAAGACTGAAATGGTGCCATAAACTGCAAGTAAACTGTTTGACAATGCTACGGCAACAAGTTATGCTTGTCAACATAACCATGTTGTACATACCTGTCAAATAATGTGAGGTTAGTATTACTGCATCTATCATTGGATTGTAATTATTAATTATTACTCTGAAAATGAACATTACTCAGCTAATCAAATTTAAGACATTTAAAAAATGTAAACTAAAACTAAAAGTAAAACTTTTAGTAACTTTGCTGTTACAGAAATTGGAAATATATTCAATGAAAGGAACAATGGAGAAAATAATGGACAAGAGAATGGATTCAGCGGAGAAACCGATTCTGTAAGGAAACAAAGTCAAGTGGAATTATAAATGTAGCATTCAACGAACATCCAAGACAGGCTGAGGAATTTTTCGTCAAGATCTTCAGAATGGATGTAAGTTTATTTGATTGTTCTAAAAAATTGACCGCTTGTTAGAAGACAAGATATCATGCTATACATTTATATGACATCGATAGAAAAAGTTTCATCGCTTATCAAATGACAGGATATCATGTGTAAGATTATACATCCAGAGAAAAAACTGTCAGTAACACTTTGCTTCGAAGTAACAGGTGAATTGTATCGTAGGTTGGAATTTTGAACAAGTTTTTCTGCATGTACTTTGTACGCATAATATCAGAGTCTTAGGAAGTTTTAAGAGATAATGTACGGATAAATTGGAAAATTTGATTTATCAAACATGTCTGTTTACTTATTTTAAATGATTTAATATTATCTAATATTTGTTCATTTTTAGACAACAATAAAAAAGAAGAATGGAAGGAGGTTGCGTAAGAGTTTTTCATTCGCAGAACGTTCCAAACTGTCTAGGGGCAATGGATAAAAGACACGTCAATTTCAAAGTGCCTCTAAGTGAAAGATCATTATATTATAATTATCAACAAACAAATGGGTTTGCCTGTTTGGCATCAGCAGATGATCGATACAGATTCTTGTACGTACGTACTGGAACAGATAGATGAGTGGCGTGTTTAAAACCAGTGATCTACCTTCGTTATTTTAGAAGAATCAAACAATTGTTTGCATATTTCACAAAGTCTATCAGGAATGAAGGAAGTAATAATTTGTCACATTAGCTGATACTGTATTTTTTTGAAAACTAATATATAGACGTTAGTACCAATATACACTCTTCTAATAATAAAACATATACTTTCTTTTTATTCACACGAGTAAAATAATATAGTACAAAGTTTGTTAGCAAAAGTTATGTATTTACTCTCACATGTTATACTGCTCTTGTATCCTGATGTTT